TCTCCTGCTTGTTTGGCTTTATTTGGGAATACTGAATCACCAGCATTGGGGTTTCCGTAAGTATGGTATTCCTGTTCATAACCTTCATGCAGCATTAGTAGACACTGCACGACCCCCATGTTTATCTGACCCTCCCTTCCCTGACCCACCTCTTACTTCTTCTCTGCCTGCCTCCTTCCCACACTGTGAAGCCTCCCATCCAAGTGGGGACCCTTCCCCAACCTTATTCCTCTTCCCTCGAATGCCATTTCTCTTACATCTCTGCTTGCAGAAGAGCTTTGCTGTCACACTTGGCAGCAGCAACAGCAGAAAGACGAGGCAACCACTGTACTTGTGCAAAACAGGGAACCTTCTCTTTTTCTGTCTGTGTCCCAAATGTTTGTAATATGTGGAATAACCCCATGGTTTTCACTGAGCACTGTGATGCAGAAATCATATTCTGGTCTTCCTCTTTCTTTCTAGAACCCTATAAAAAAGAAAAGCCAATAGAAATAGGTAAATATGCTCTTGTCTTCTCTTCTGTGTTTCCCAGAAACCTATGGATATGATATGGATATTGATTACCTATGTTCATTTTTAAAAAATTATTCCTAACAGTATTTTCCATACTGCATAGCTCATCACCACCTTCCACCCTGGCAATTGTATCCTTTCTTCCCTTACCCATACTATGCTTTTCTGCTTGCCTCCTTCCTTGCATTGTGATGCCCCCTAGCCAAGCGTGGATCCTTCCCCAGCCTTATTCCTCTACTCTCAACTGCCATTTCTGTTATATCTGTGCTTGTGGAAAAGCTTTGCTGCCAAAATTGACAATAGGTGCAACAGCAGGAAGACGATGTAACCACTCTACTTGTGCAAAATGAGGAATTTACCCTTTTACTATGAATGCCCCAATTCTTTTTAATATATGGAATAGCCCCCACACTTTGTGATTAACACTGTAATGCAGAAATCATATTCTGGTGTTTCTCTTACTTTCTAGAATCACACAAGAAAGGAAAGCCAGCAGACACAGGTAAGTATGTTCTTGTTTTCTGATCGTTGCTTCCCTGAAACACATGGATATGATATGGATATTGATTACCTACTTTCAAAATTTATCATAACCAAAATGCTTAATCTTTTTATTTTAACCAAGCTGCCAAAGAAGGATATTCATGTAAAAGAATCTGGTAAGACCTGGGTAAAAACATATGTATGAAATTATACTTTTCACTTTGAACGCTTACTGTAAATTAACACAAGTCTATGGAAATGAATGTTCCATACTTACTAAGCGACTAAGAGAAGTGACTAGGAGAAGTGACTAAGTAGTGGAATAATATCAAAAATGATTAATAGACTACATACTTCCCCTTATGGGTTATCTAGTTAGAAGAGCTCATTCAATCTTTTCTTTATAATAAGCCAATACTTATGTCCATTTATTTTAGCCAAGGTGCCAAAGAAGGATATGCATGAAAAAGAATTTGGTAAGACCTGCGTAACATCGAATCTAGAAATTACATTTTCCACTTTGAATATTTAGTATAGCATAACACAAGATTATGGAAATGAACGTGCAGTAAAAAAACCTAAGAAGATAAATAAAATGGTGAACATGTCAGATACTGTACATTTTGAACACTGCAAGGGATCTAGGCCTCAACCACGTAGCTCCATTAACATGTCTCCAAGACAATCTATTTACTTCTTCTTGAGGGCATTTCCTTACATAAGATCCTCCATCTCAGGGCAGTTTGCTACTGAGGCACGATGAAGCTGCTTCAAGGTGATCCAGCAATAAAGTGGTGTTTTTCCATCAGGAAACAGAAGCAGCACTCCTCCATGACCATTACATGTTGCCTGGAAGAGTCTTCAGTGCTGGCAACCTGCTGGGCTACATTGTCCCACAGAAAGACCACACCATCCCCTCCAGTCATAAGTGGCCTCCATGGCTATTTTAATTGTGACTACCACAGAGATTGGAACTTTCTCGCTTGAAGTGTTTTAGGCAGAGTTGGTTTACCCAGTAGAGAACTCAGAAAATCAAAATTGGTTCTTCTCTAAGTTCAGGATTCCCATCAGTAATCTCCTCACAGCTTTAACAGACATTGCACATCCCAACACCACCTCTTACCATGGTAGTCTCCCCACCCCCGCCCTTCCCCACTTCATAGTCTTCCTTCTCTGCCTGCCTGATTCAGTTCCCCCATCAGGAAGCCCCCCAGCCAAGGATGACTATTTTCCTCCATCCTGTTCCTCTTCCCTCTGCTGCCATTTCCTTTCTCTTTGCACTTGGTGG